AAAAGAAAAGGAAGGACTGGTGAAACAGTGATAAAGAAACTGAGAAAATCGGATCCGCGATACCTCGAATCATGTACCTCACCTAACTTGGCGACGTTGCTTCGCGTTGCTCTCCAATTTGCTCGTCCGCGTTGTACGATCTACGGTCGCGCTTAATCGAGGACGATTGCTTTTGGTATTCACTTTTGTGGTCAAGCATTCGATACGATTCGCAAAGATGCCTCGCTGTACGCTGTACGTACGTGTACGTTGAGACATTCGTTGCGGTGTATTCGTTCGTTCGTTCGTTCGTATCTATTGCGCCGCCTTTGCGCCCTATTATCGTGAAAATAGAGGGAGGGGAAGAGGGGAGATGATCACCGAGGTTATTGTGCCAAGGGAAGCAGGAGAACCAAAGATTTGCGCCACGTCGATGAATCGATTCTCCGAAGGTGAGAAGTAGCAACCGAGAGGTTTATTCAGTTGACGCGCTGCCGTTCTCTATGGCAGCAAGGGGGAAGAATCCGCTCGACGAAGCTCGTTCGTGGATATCTAGACATTACCGAGGCGCCGTGATACGGGGGAGAGCCTCCTTTCACGTTCAACCGAGAAATCTAATAATCAAAGGGCATGCGCCTCGCTGAATACAGTCATTCGAGAAGCTTTTTTAGGTCAGATGATTCCTCCTTGTAATATTATCAATATCAGAGCAGAAGGAAAGGTTGATTTTCCATCGGGCGTAATTGCAGACCTGGGCGTTTTGAGAAACTCTCAAGTAACATTATTTTCATGTTACGTTCCAATGTTATTTGATGATATAAAATTATGTTACATCGAGTATATTTCATACAAAAATCAAATTAATTTATTTCCAATTGAATGATTTATTTGTTAGTTGATTTTGATAGAAATAACTGATTTCTCAAGATACAATGTCCAATGTTTATTATTCCTTATTCTGCAACTATGGTATAGTTTTACCACGCTTATCTACAAACTCAAGTTGAAATGGATGTTTTTGATGACGATGCAAGAAATTTAGATATGCTCCATATGACTACATATTAATAAAACGAAATTTACATTTGTAAAATATAACAACTCTCGTCTTTGTCATCAGTAGAGAGACTATTCTCATTTGCAACTTTAACAGATGTCCCTAAATTTTGTTCACTAACGGATCAAACGTTTGAGAAACGAGTCCTGTTAAAAATTAAGGCAAATTTCTGCCGTGATAACACACACTAATAAATTATTTAGACTTTCATTCTGACTCTCGTTATTTTTTTTTTTATTTTCTCATTTGAGCATTTTGGTTTCATTGATATTTACTTCGAATGTTATTTCAAAGACAAATTTTCAATTGTCAAGTAAATATTATTCGATATTATCATTTTCAAATAATCGGTTCTTCAATTTATTATTTTGCCAATTATTTGCGTAGCTTGGAATTCTTTTAAATGAGCGATTGGCATCCATTATTCCCCAAATGTTGAAGAACATTATTTCAAACTATTTACAAATTATTATTCGAAATAAATTTCACCCAGGTCTGCGTAATTAAATTGTTGATTAAAGGGGGTCAAACTTATCCTTCGGCTTTAAGGCGTCGATCAAATGATCGTGAAAAATCGAGTGGTGTTTTTCACAAGGAACACGGAGGAGGAGGAAACGATCGTCGATGTCGAACTCAGATTTCTCTTCTGTTTTTCTTTTCCTTTTATATTAGTTCAACGTTTGAAACAAGCATCTCAGCCGCGTTAAATTATTTCCGAGCGAAACTACTTTTATCTTTAATCGTGATAAAAAGCTGCGCGTAAATGAAAAACGAGCGTACATCACTGGCTCATGTGCCACCGGTATTTCGACGATAATGCTCTAAATACGGGCGTTGGCGCTCGGATTCGCCTCACCTTTGAACTTTAGAAGTTCAGAAGTTCTTCTTTATCTCCAAGTGTGAACTTTTAATTAGACGCTTAATTTTTCCAGCTGTCCACGTTATGAAACCAGTCTGTTTCTCAACCCCTAGCGGGATTCTCGTCCGATCGATTCGCTCGTCGCACCTCGCAACCCGACAACTGCCCTGAATCTCTCGGGGATGACGCGTTCGTTATTCCCTATTCGTCGTTTATCAGCGTTTATATTGTAACTCTGTTAAACCAGGAGACAAAAGACGCGAAATCCTGCACCCCCTAATCCGTGCACTTGGCAGGCGGTAATCCGTGGAAACGCATTTATCGCGTCGGAAACAACGGAGAAAATGGTGCTTCGAGTTCGAGGCACGTAAGTCTTCGTCGCGGAGGAGATTTGCTTTGCAATCGGATATCGATGGGAAGAGATCTATCTCCGCGACGACTCGCCCCTTCTCGCGCACTCTTCTCGGGCGGGGCGAGAGGGAATTTTCCAAAGAAAATTGGAAAACGCCGGACGAGGGAACGACGTGCGCGAATCGCTCGAAGGAGACTCCTGGCGAGCCGTGTAATCTGGCTGCGACCCTGGCACAAAGCGAATTCATGCTAATTTTAGTTTGCTCGAAGGAAACGGATTCAAGCGTTTCTCGATGTCGCCCGGTAACGTCGTCGTGAAAACGGAGGAAGGACGTGCGCGAGGACCAAAGGGAACGAGGAGAGAACGTGGCATTAGCGCGTGTGTGTAAAGTATAATAGGAGAACGATAAGGAGAAACAGAGGAAGTCGAAGGTGGCGAACGAGAGGAGAACGAAAGATAGAGAAAAATGGCAATAAATTACCCAACGATGAAATGAATTACTATATGCCAGTCGAGAAACTGGCTAGAGAAAGAAACGAATTTTAGAAAGAGGGGTGGAACGGGGTACGGCGGGAGGAAACAATCAATGAGAAATTAACGGAGATTATTAAATCGTGATATTGAACAGGATATCTTGTGATATGGAATTTAGGTGTATTGGGCGTTCACGTTGATGAACATAGATAAATGTGTGTGTGTGTGTGTGTGTGTGTGTGTGTGTGTGTGTGTGTG